ACTAATGTTAATGAAATGAACGTTATTGTAAAGTAACGGCAGACTAAGAGCCAGAACCCCTGGTTCTCAAAACCACTAGGTCACTCGTTGTGAACTCTATGGATGAAGTTATCAAAATAAACTAACCAAGTTAAATAAGTCAGCAAAAATGATTGCAGCCTCAAACCAATGTGTAAGAGAGCTTGCATGTATATAAAAAAAATAAAATATAAAAAAGCACTCAATGTACAGTTGAAACTAATGATATTTTGGACAATCATAATGTTATTATTTGTCCGTTTGTTATTGCACATTTCAGTTTTAATACACTAATCAAATAAAAATAAACCACTGATATAGAATCAGCAAAGATTCTACAAATAACCCACATGTGCCACAATGGTCCTCACCACTTTTGGTGACAATTATAAAACAGCAACAACAATTTAACTAATAACTCCAATACAAAATATATGACAATATAAACCACAGGGGCCTACGAAAGAGATGAAGATATAAATAGTGAGAATGAAAAAGAGAGAGGAAGTGCACAGCAGACCTCGTTAGCTGTTAGCGTACGCTAACAAAGCTCTACATCCTCACCCTGACAATGTGACAAGCCAGCGCGCGCGAGGGGAAGCATGGGGAGGGGGGTAATTAGGATAATTAAATTAGCACGCTGATGGACGCAGGCTGGGGAACTGTCAGGACCCCTCTCCTCTACCCAAGTACCACAGACAAACACATACACACACTCTGTAGGCGTAGAAATACACACGCACCCACGTCCAGATGCGCGCTTAGAACCGTGTGCGCATATAGGAAAGCACAAAAAAAAAAAAAAAACGTGATCTAAACCCTCAGCTGACCCTGACTGAATAAATTGCCTCACTTCATTTCTCCACTGGCCATCTCGTAAACACTTTGTTACATAAATCTAATGCAGATAACTAGTGCACCAATTATTTTTAATGGTTAATGTTCTTGTTATTTGCGTGTTGGCATCTCTATGGAAAACAATGCAACTCGCTCGCCTGCATTATTTGATTTATGGCAATTCAGGTCATTATATTACTGCATGCTCAACCAAAGACAATTATCATTTATTAGAGGCAAAAGGCCATGAGGAGCCCTGTTCTTAAACATGAGCAAACTTGTATATATAGACTTTTGTCCCATTAGGAATTATGAATTTCGAGTGAGTAATAATTGATTGTGACAGAAAGTAACCCAAGGTGATCAAACTGCGGTGCAAATCAATGGGCATGATGCTGCTTTATTAAAAAAAAAAAAAAAATTTCCTGATAAACTGCACTTACATTAATACTCCGCTGAATCTCTCAAATCAATCGAGAAAACTAACAAAGCAGAACTGCTTCAAGAAAAATGTACCTGGTACGATAGTGTATCACAATATTCATTTCACATTAAAAAAGTAAGTAACAAAAAAAAAATCTGAAAAAAAAAACACATTTTACTTTTATTTCCATTTTATATGATGATGATAAGAAGAAAGAAGAAGAATAGGCACACTTTTTGATAAAACAGATATGTTGTTAAATTATGTTATATTATATTAACCAATATTATATTACAATACATTATATTAAATTGTATTTTAACAAAGCCAGATAGGATACTTTTCTTTCTCTCATTAAATACTTGAGTGACACACACACAAATATACATTGTTCCAGTGTGATATGATTATGGAGTCAAACAGACTCAAGTTCCCATCCATACTGTTTATAATTTGAAATGATCTTAAATATCAACAGCTATTGTCCAGTTCCCTCACAGAATCATACAGTAAATATGCAGTGAGCCAATGATTCAAACTCTTTAATTATTGTCACATGAGTAGTAATGACAAAAATAGGCCAACAAAAAAAAATCAGGCAAACAAAATGGCATGAGTGGGACACACACACACACACACACACCTCTGGGTAGTTGTTATGCTATCAATGCAACACAAAACATTAAAATAATCATTTTGGTACTCATCAATAAATTCCACTACAGTGGATAATTAGAATGCATGATTAATTGAGGATAATGAAATGAGAGATGCGAAGAGACAGCGTCAGTAATGATCAGGAATTTAGCCTTTTCTTGCTCTCATTTAGTGCTGCTGATGAGCTTGGCCATCATACAGACATGCAGCCACTCTTTTTACACACACACAGTTCAATTACAGCAGTCTTGGCTGCAGCCAACAGTGTAATAATTAAGAAGATAATAGCTGAGCGTTTAGAGTGTAAATCTCCCTCCTGGACGGAGCACTGAACGGTTCAGCCTTGAAGAGCTGCGTGCATCTGCCGCCCAGCCACACACACATCTGCATGGGCAAATACACAAAACCGACAAAGCCGCATGCAAACAACACAGACATGCATACAAACACAACAGAGTTACATAGAAAAACACAAACATCACAACGACAAACATTCACTGTATATCAATATGGAAGAGCGACTTCAGGGAAAGGTTAGACATAGTGTCGTTTTGAATGAATGGTTTTATTGGATTTCCATTTCTTTATTCTTCTCTCAATAATCTCTCATGTTTCCTCAGGTCTATTATACAATGGATGCTTGTAGCTGGCAAGATCAACTTTGTAAGCATTGTTTGTTTCTAATAGCCCCCTCCACCATCCCCAACCCGTCATCTAGCTCTCCCAGCTCTCTACATGATGGGTTCACTTCACCAGGTCCAAAAATGTCTTCTTTCTTGTTCCTCGGTGAGGACAGAAGAACCATTTACATTCTTAACAACTTAAGAAATACCTTAAAGGTTCACTACTGAGGATTAACACTCACACTGAAGTGTTCATAAATGTATGTACATTTAGGGTGTGTTCACACTTGCCAGGTTTGGTTCAATTAAAACGGACTCTGGTGCGATTGCTCTGTTAGTGTGGTTCATTTAAATAAGTGCGAACGCTGCCATCTGAACCCTGGTGCGCACCAAACAAGTGGACCAAGATCCCTGAAAAGGTGGGTTTCGGTCAGCTTCCAAATGAAATCTGGTGCGAAATATGAACGCAACACAGAACAAAGACATCTAAATGAACCAAATAGAGGATGTGATGTCACAAGATGCAAAAATGCTCAAGCATACTTGTTTTTTTTCTCGTCTTAGGAGCCAAGTTGCCCATTACAGGTCAGTACAGGTGTCGGAACCGCGTCTCCTTGCTGCACATTGGAGAAATTCCTGGCGCTGTTTTGACTCCTTTACACATTTAATAAGCTCTTCACAAGTTCTCAGCTGGTAAAATACCATCATCTGATTCAGTATGCACATACATGAGCATATAAGCCCAGCACACAGCATTGTACACATACATCATATAAGCAGTTTTTTGTTGTTGTTTTGTATCCTTAGGTTCGGTGTTAAAAAAATGACAGTGTGAATGCTAAGCGAACGAGAACTAAATATTATTTTCTTTTTTTGGTCCAGACCAAAAGAACCAAACTACAAGTGTGAACACACCCTTAAATGTTTGTATTTACTTCTACCATGTGTAGTAGTTCGTCAAAGTCTTTTTACATGTTCTGCACCGTGGCTCCAGCAGCCAGTCACTGTATTTTGTGATCTCAAATCGAGATAAAAAGAATTACTTCATTCATGTGACTTTAAAAATATTCTATTAATTCCTAATATATATTAAAAAATAATATTTACTTCACCTGTTATTAGGGATGTGCTGGTTTAAGAAAAAAAATTGGGGGTGGTAAGATTTTTTCATGCTTTAAAGGAAAATACAGGAAAATCAGTAATCCTGTGAAATATTATTACAAATTAAAATGACTGTTTTCTATTTCAATTTATTTTAAAATATAATTTATTCAAGTGAGGGCAAAACTGAATTTTCAGCATCATTACTCCAGTCTTCAGTGTCACATGACATGAATAGAAAGTTTTTTTTTAAAAAACCTGCATTTATTTGAAACAGTAACAATGTCAAAGTATTTTACTGTCTCTTTAATGTCTCCTTGCTGAATAAAAGAGTTTCTTTCAAACACCTGACCCCAAACTTATAAACCATATGTACTTTTTAATGTGGTGAAGTTGATACAAAAGTAATACTTTGCTGGCTGTAGTGATGGTACTTCAAATTGGAATTAATTACTTGGGAATTTCTTGTTTTAAACACAGGTTTCCTTTTTCAACTTTATATTTTGCATTATAACTTTATGGTACAATTAGTTTACATAATATGCACTCAAAAAACCTTGAAAGCTATTTTTGTAACACAGCCATTGCCAGGAGCATAAATATAAATGTCTTGTTAAAATTCCCAGTATGATAATATATGAAGCATAAATAGAACATTAAGTCTGTCAAAACAGATTATAAACAAAATTCAAATTTTCCAACAAGGAAAACCCATAAGCACATCCAAAAAACTCTTCTGAAATGAGCCTCATTTCTTAACGTCTTGCGCCCCCTAGTGGAGCACAGATCTCACAACTTCATCCTCGCTTTATCTGTCCTAGAATATTTTGTTCTCACTGATCTCAACAGTTTAGTGAGCAAATAAACAAAACAACTTCCAAAACGTTTAATGAAGCACTTAAATCATGCTTTTCTCAAAGTGCCCGAGCAAACGTCAGCACACAGAACACCACAGCTATCTCTATACCACACAGAGCCACCCAAGACGAGATGGGCCATTTAGCTTGTAATTAAGAGCCGATTAAGCCAGATTGAGCCAGCTATTCAACAGCAAAGTCACCTTGCACTTTCTGCCTCCATTGCCTTATGCTGTAACCTACATCATGTGAAAGTAACGGTTATCCAAGCATGCACTGTTACAACTGGTGCTGCAAACAATCTGATCTAACAGAGGTGGCGTACAATTGACACTTTTGAACACTGAACTAAACCACCATTGATGACCTTGTGTTTGTTTAGGTGTTTAAACATTTATTTGACAACTTTGCCAGTAAATTCAAACCCTTTAGACACCTAAAGCTCACATGTTAACCTATTTAAGACAGTATGAAGAGACTCACCATCCTGGAAGACGCGCTCCACATTGAGGCCGTAGGTAGCACAGGTCTCGTAATACGTGCACCTCTTCAGGTCGTTGGACAGTTTGCGAGCGCGTGTGTCGTCGATGACACGAGGGTTAGCTGCACTGATTGCATCTGTGAATAGATGGGATGAGACAAAAATGTTTTTAAACTAACACTGGTGAAAATAATTCATGTTTAAGAAAATCCTTTCATCAAATGTGAGAGGCTTCAAATGCATACATATACATATTGTGAATAATCTTCCATTGATTATAGTGTGGCACCCCCTAGTGTTCATATACTGAAAACACAAGTAGTGTATAGGGCATCATTTTTGTCATTACTTAATATTTTAAATATATATTTTTGTGTTTAAAAGTTTGGGGTAAGTAAGACTTTAAAAAAAAATCAGGATATTAATATTTTCATCCAGCAATTGATCAAAAGTTGTAGTAAAACATTTATAATATTACAAAATATTTCTATTTTAATAAATGTTGTTTATAACCCAGAAAAATACCAAACCCATTTTAACGGCGTTAATTTTTTTATCGCGCGATTAACGGTCTTTTTGGCTTAGCAAACTTTAGTTTTTTTTCACATGCTTTTGCAACAGGATGCGGCATGCGCGGGATGCTTTGTTGCTTTGTAGACCAAAGCGCAAGCGAATCTAGCTAGACCAGAAACAAAACAACAGGCACGCCGCACACACTTGTTTGGGCTTGCGAGCTGGCCAAATAGTAGGTTAACGTTAAGTTTTGAGTGGATGACGAGCGCGAGACGCCGAAATGGATGCCAATAAGATTCTGAATGGAAAGTTTACTTTTAAAAAAGTTGCCAAATGGTTCCATTGACGAGACCAAAGTGATCTGTGTGTTTTGTCGTTGTGAACTGAGCTATCATCATCGCAGCACGTCCAGTCTGAAACACCACTTGATGATGGCCAAGCACACACACACACACACACACAGCTGATGCGAATTCTCTGCTCCCTCGTCAATATCAGGACCTGTCAGTATTTCTTTCACCCTTTTATTGATGGACAGTGTGTGAGAGATTATTTGCTCCAAGTGAAAATGTTAGTGTGAAATTGAACACAGTATTGTCCATGTTGTTTTCAATAAAAAACATTTGCACAAAGCAAGCCGATCCACTTTTCCATGTTGATAAGAGCATTAAAATGAGAAAAAAGAATGGGACAAAAAGAAATCAAGAATAGATATAATAGACATTTAGAATAGATAAAAATGTGCGATTAATTGCGATTAATCGCGAGTTAACTATGACATTTATGCGATTAATCGCGATTAAATATTTTAATCGTTTGACAGCACTAGTAATAATATTTCACAATATTACTGTTTTTGCTGTATTTTTGATCAAATACATGCTTGTCTTGGTGAGCATGAGTGACTTTCCCCCAAAAAAAACACAACCTTAACTTTTGAACAATAAATAATATAAAATGATAAATTCTTTCTCTTCTAGTGTGCCTGCACTTACCCTGAGTTCCCACAAGCACCAGGGGCACCTCTGCTGTGTTGCGGCAGTTGGCCATGCGACTATAGTAGTGGTAGACCGTCTGAAAGCTGATCTCATCTTCCAGACTGAACACAAATATCACCGCATCCACCCACAATGCAAACTGAGAGAGAATGATTGAGAGAGTGGTAACAATTTAGAAAGTGAGAGAGAAATATTCTTCAAGTAACAGTTAAAAATAGGCTGCACTCATATTTCATCATAGAATCGTAGGCTGCGTCTCATTCCCTGCGATGTGATTATTGTGAATGTGAACTTTTGTACTAGCAAGGGCTTTGAACCACTACACATTGGGACACAAGATGACTATATTACCTACGAAATGATTAAAACAACGTACATTAAATTACAGGGGGTATTTATCAATTATCAACAACATTGCCATTATGCCAAATAAAAATACTAGATGAAAAAACGAATATTTTAAATGTTGCCTTAGCAGTAAACTTAAATAAGTTGAAGCATTACAATTATTAACAGGAAACTGAAAAGCGCATTACGAAATAAACAATTTAAACTAAAATTAACATGAACACTAAAAATATTAAAATAATTCATGTAGTTTTATTTATTTTGCAGATTTTTTATTAAATTTTTTTTAAGATGAAAAATATCATCTTATCTTTTAAGGACAGAAAAATAAGGCTTTGTCAAGTTGTCTTCATACTTTTTGTGAGACTTAACATTTCGGGTAATGAATCCATGGAGCAACCAATGCTCACAGGATTTATAATATGGTTAAAAGTCTACAGTGCACTTACTGAACTAGGAAGTGGATTGAGACGCACCATGAAATTCATATTTCACAGACCATGAGAAAGCAGCCAAGTGACTTCCTGTTTGCATTTTATGACTAACAGAAAATCAGTTGGTCTAAATAAACGTGATCAACCTCATGTAAACTCTTTTACATCATGGTTTCCACTCAAGCGGCTCTGTAAAACAAAACTAATCTATTGCTTTAGCTACAGTACGCCATCCACAGTCCAGGCACAACATTATGAATCAGAACATCCGCTGTACTTCCTACCTGAGCCTCCGGAGGTCCCCCTTCATCCCGGATTAGAAGGAGGTAACTTTGCCCATCCACCACGATCTCCTTTTTAAAACGCCCTCCTGTCCAACAGAAGCAGCCAATCAATTTAAAGAGCCTGATGCTGCGAATACATTTACTACTTCTAAAATGAGATGATTGGTGGACTGTTGATTGACATGGAAACGGAGAAGGGTGTGTGTATCATCTGGTTATTTTCGAATTACTTTATTGGGTAAATAATTTGATCTACAAATCAGAGTTAATATTCAAAAAGCGAGTACTGGAATAATTTATTAAATAAATCATGCGCTACACTGCTTTTTTTGCAACTTCTCTTCATTATAATTCTATTCTTCCTGTGAAAACTGCAAAGGATTTCAAGTTTTGGTATTCCTGTATATGATTAAATTTTTTATATTCATAGTACAGAATCTCTCTTTTTTATTTTTTATTCCCAAAGAGCTGATTCTTCATGAACAAGCTGGGTCAATTTAGTGAATCGAAATCACACAGCATAGAACATACTGTGTCGTGTTGTGCTTCACGCTCGTAAAATGTGCTCATGCTCATAGTGTACTTACTGACTGGTTGTTCATATGACAGTGGCTGTTTCTCAATTCTAAGAATGCAAAGAACAGACTTGCGCTCTTGTGGAGACCGGTCTTGCCAGGCTACCTTGAAAGAACGAACTCTGGAGGACACGAGGACACAGAATGCATCTTTGTGAGGATTGAGATGTGCTGTGAACCGACCGTTCAGGACGTAATAGGCAGTGGGACAGCACCATCCAATGCACAATAAATTAAACAGAACATCACAGAGGTCATTACCTATTCAAATATTTAATTATTACTTTTACATGAGTATGTGTAAATGAGTTTGTACTGTATATATAATGGTTACGCTTTATTAACCTTAAGATTCTTGTAAACATGCCAATTGATAAGTACTGAAGACTTTCTCTGGGTATTTAGAACTTTATTGAAATTATGCCAATCAAAAAGACATGCGTTTACTTTCACAAGCTGTCACGCGTTTGCAATTTTTCAGTGGGAATCTCGAGTGAGAACAAGAAGCGGTTTGATTCTCTCAGGTCAAGAACACATCTGGTTACTTCCCTGCCTTCTCTGTACTTGCGTTCTTGAGTACTGGATGTGTACATTGATGGTCGATGATGACGTACGAGAACTCATATTGAGAAACGCCCAATACGTAGACACACATTTATGAATTTTTACAGTAGTATTTTATAAAAATAAATGGAATATGTTACCACATTTTTTGTTTGTTTAATACAGATATTATATAGTTAAAGCCCATTACTGGATTGCATTTATGCCACCTCTAAAGAGACTTAAAAGTTAGTGTAAAAACACCTTCCGTCAAAATTGTTTAGAGTAATCATCTCAATTTAGAAACGAAATTGCTTTTTATTACCAAATATTTCCTTAACAATATATAAAAGAATCATTAACAGACCTGTTCAGGAACTATTATTCACAAGTTAGTATATAAAGTTGTTTAAAATTGAATTAACTAATTTCTTTTTATCACTAGTATTTTCCACCCAACAACTGTAGTTGTGGGTAATTTTCCCCTCATAAGAAAATGTGTACTTTTTTTACTTTTAAATGTGGTTCATTAATATAATATTTTGAAAATCCCAGTTTCTGTTAAGTTAATAAAACAAAAAGTTTGAAAAAGCAGCTTTGTGGTCATTTCAGCAGAATATACCAGAGGAAAATATCACACTGTATCTTGAATGAGGAGCCTTTGAATATTGTCTTGGACAATGGACAATTGTGGTGGCCAATTAAAAAAAAAAAAAAAGTTGAGAACCACTGGTCAAAAGAAACCTTATTAACATGAGTTTTTCTCACAATATAATATGCAGCCTGTACAAACACCCTTGTGCCTGAAATGCATAGCTGAAGTTTTCTGCCCACAGGGTTCAGCCCAAAAAAAAGTATTTGAACCCATGGAGTAATTAGGTGTCAGCTAAAACAATTTGTTTTCAAACATCCAGTCTGACGATAGAGAATGTTAAAAGTCAAAATGTCCCATCTGAAGTGAGAGACGGCGGTCAGAGATCAGAGGACAGAGTGTGACAGAGACTTCTCGGGTGACTGTTGGTTGGTTTGCTGAAACATAAGAGGATCAGAGGGGATTCCTGGAGATGTTAGAGGGTCGTCTTAACCTTATCGCAGCTCTACATGGCTAATCGGCTTGTGTACCGAAGGCCTGAGAGAGCCTCACTCTCACTTCATATCCTGGACATTCCATGGTCATCTGGAGATATGGCCACTCGACTATTCTCTATTAAACTTTCACCCTTCACCTCTGACCTCCAACTATGCATCACCATGATAACCAGCAAAGACGATCAATCATACACAGAGAGATTTGAGATGGACCAATAACTGGTTTACCCAATATTTTAAATATTTATACTATTTTACTTTTTTTTTTTTTTTTTATCAGGTCTAACAGGGAACAGTGGTGTTCTCAAGTAAAATAACTCATTTAAAAGCAGTAATCATGTCAAATTGTCAATAAATTTGTGATTTCATTTTAGATAGCCATTTGGTATAAATGGTATATTTGTATTGTTCCTAGCCAGTGGTTCTCAATTTTTTAATCATGCCTCCTTTTAACTCCACTCAAAAAACCCTGAGAAACCCTGTTCTAAGCTAAGGATTATTCACAGGGTGGGGGTCACAATGGGCTACTAGGGGAACATTTCAGAAGAAAAGAAAGTGTCTAAATATTGACATATTTACATAAATAAATCACAATATTTTGAAAAGTACTATACAAAAACATTTTAATAATTATTTTAAAAATGTGTATATAATGTACTAACCACATTTTCTAGATAATCATTTATTTTGGCTTCAAATGTATCGATGCAAATTATTTTTATTTTGAAAAAATCTTGTCTTAATACTATCACACTATTTTACCACACACAGTATAAAAGAGTGTTTTTTTAGTAGGGGGTCTTGGTAATGAGATCATAGTTGGGGAAAAAAAGTTTGAAAACCCATGATTGTACCAAAAAAAAAAACCCTGATGTTAATTAAAATTATTATTAAATATCAGTTCTGCATATCAGTAATCAAGACACAGCAGCAAATAATCATTATCTCTAAAACAGATAACAGTTATTACACTAAAGGGAAGATATTCAAAATGCAGTTATAGCCTTTGTTTCCATCTTCTCTCTGTCTGGATAAAGTGTTTAAACTCTGCTTTTCTGCTGAACCAAGCATGGGCAATAATATGAAAGCCAAAGTTCATGCGCTTTACAAAAGTCGGCAGGTTGAAAAAGAAGATTGGGTTAGTCTGTTCGGGTATGGCGGTACGGCTGGAGGAGACGGCAAGCTTTTCCGTAATGACACGTTTGCCTGTTTGTGCTATAAAGGAAGAGGAAGAGGACCAGCGTCAGGACAGCTAACACTCAGCATATAGTCTGGACCCAGTTATTTATATATTTGTTGAAAATATAGAGCGAGAGAGAAGTGCACAGTGAGTGAAAGATACACACCCATCGCTTAATTACACTCTGGGTTCTTTCTCCATGGAGTTGATGTCAGTTGAGTAAAAACACGCTGAGATAGCTCATCTCGACAAACTCGTGTGAAAAGAACAGTTTTTGATAGAACGCACAGTGCAACAACAGTTTGACATCCAGTCTTGATGTACAGTGACCCATAACGCGTAGTGCAGTGGTGGCATTGGTGGTTCGTTAAGGAAATGAATGAAATGGAAGATGGCAAAACTACAGTGGCATCATGAGAGGAGTGGAATCTCCTGTTCTGTGGCTTGATACGTTTAAAGCTTTGTGCTGAGTAAAGAGAGGCCGTGTGGAATAGATACGTCTCTACTTCCAGACTTTAAATATGATGCAGATTGTTTGTGAGCAAAACAATGCATCTAAAATGGAAACAAGACCAAGAATGTGCTGTTATACAAGCCACAGAGGGGAGAGTCCACCTGTTCAACTCTCTTGCACTAGAAAAGACCCTTCCCAAGAAGAACATATCAGACGTTGAAAAAGAGAGCAAATAGTTACCTGCGTCCACGTCAGCTAGTTAAAGAAGAGACCAAGGAAAGAGAGAATAAACAAAACTCAAATCAAAAAGCAGCCAAGCTAAACATGCACAGTCACAGTTAAGAAATTAAACACAGCAGGACAAAGAGAGAATGAAAGAGAGAGAGAGAGACAGAGAGAGACAGAAGCATAACTTTCATTCATTCATCACAATCTTATAATGTCAAGGGGCTTCTGTGAGTATGTGTGTATCTGAACAGATCAAACACGCCTGTCCTGAGGACACAGTCAGGTCAATACAGCTGAAAGGGGCACATACTATCGCACACGCTCATGTAATGCATGCCAGCTGAGCATTGAGGTCAATGACGCAATTCACAATCTATTAGATCATTCAAAACTACATTCCAAATGCAATTCACTCGTACGCATATTTGTGTATCCGATTGGAATCTGGTCTAAAATTATTGACTGTCCACAGTGTATCGCAACTGTTCAGATCTGATGTGTGTATCCCATGCCGCTCTTTCACTTTCCGGAATATCTGCATTGATTTATATGGTAATGACTTTGCGTTTGGTAGGTATACGCCAAAAACAACAACCACCGCAACATGGAGGGGTTTGCAATACAGACGTTGTCTTATTTACAACATGAGTGTGTAGCCGCTGCGCTGGAAGAAACGTAGGAGGCTGGTGTGAGCAGCTTTGTTCCGTGCTGTCGTCTCCATCGTTTTCAAAAAATGTCTGTTATATTGTCATTTTCTGCTCGTCCGGCACTTTGCAACAACGCAACCTTATTTTTGCACCGACTGTCAGCATGTTTCCTATAAAAACATCTGACGTTTAGGTTTTACGTGTCATGAGACAGTCACATAATCCACGCAAAATCCGATCAGAGCAGCCAGACTGAAACGGATTTCCAGAAATGTGATTTGAATAGAATTTCAACCCACATATGAATGTAGCTTGAAAAGCAGTTATTTTGTCCGTTCACACTTGCTAAATCTGATTTGTACAAAAAATCGGATTGGACTGACAGTGAACGTAGTGAAACCTAAGTTTCAGGATGATACAACTGTCCTGATATAATAAAGAAAAAAATGTGTAATTCTTGAATAAAATCATTAGTAGTTTGGCTAAATCTTTTATTATTATTTCTTAGAGAAAAGCAGTGAAGCAGTTGTTAAAATATTATTTACATAAAAAAAAAACATTTGTGTGCCAAATCAAAGTCATGTGGTGCAACCAACATGCAGAAGCATGCAGGGAAAAAACAAACAGACAAAACAGGAAATTAAATAATTGAGAGGACGCCTATAGACCTTTATGACTGTGTGATAAGGTCAGGAGGTCTCCTAAAATATTACATAATTAGACCTTTTTATGACAACGCAAGGTTTTAAAATGGCGCATGGTCTGCCTCCACAGAAAAAGTTGTCATTTGTGAAAACGTGATATTTATGAATTAATCATTTAAGATATTTGTAAAAACACTGACACACATTCAAGGTGTGAGGAAAATATTACTTTTTACTTAAAGGTTACACCACATGGCATTTTTAGTTAGATGAATTTAAACCTTTCTTGAAAAGGTTCTAAGAACTTGGCACATGTGTTTTAAGCTAGATTTTTTAAATATTTGTATTTGCTACTGACCCATTTAACAAAAATAACAAAGCATGCAGAGTAGAAATGGGTCAGGATGGTGAACCAGTTTATCTAGATTTAATGGTTTGCAGGGTAAAACCCCATTTGGAAAAGATCTAAAGTCTAAATTTGATATTTTACATTGATATAAGTGTTGTTTTTTTCCCATGCCAGAGGGACTGGTCTGCACAATTGCACCAAACTGCTGATCCCAGCAGAGCTGCATTTCTAAATCAAACATGATTGTGGCGGCATAAGCAAAAACTCAGTTATTTACCCATATAGGGGTGCTGGGTTTGGAAATGGTAAAGGCTGGGTCTGTGTCGAGACCACAAAGCCTGTAGGGATTTTCTTCCTTCTTGAGTAAACATACACACACAGTCACACAATTGGCCTTGTGATAATATCTCTTAATGAGTTCTGAGAAAGTCTCTATTCATGTAGTATGTGTGATAGAAGGGAGGGACAGAGCAAAACCCATGCGGCCGCCTGCTTTCTTTGCAGAGTGCTCTGTAAAAAATCTGCTCCAGCTCTATTTAGTGGTTTTGAGGTTGGGGTTACTCTACCAAAGCTAGGAAACACTATTTTTAAACCCAGAATAGTGAAACTTCAAAAAAAGAAGAGTAGGAAAACATTTTAGGGGTATGGTAGTTTTACTGGAATCTAAATTTGGAAATTCAAATCAGTTTTCTGTTGCGGAAATGCGACCTAACGTACCTAAAAATTCGAGTTTAGCGGCACTTCTAACATAAGAGGACGTGCTGGCCTCAAACGTGAAAAATTCAACCGTGTCGCTTAAGCTTAGCAAGGCACACACTTCAACGGTCTCTGATGTCGCGATAAGTTTCTTTTGGCACTCTGTCCTATAATCCACTGCAGCAAACAGGCAATTGACATTTCTGAGGGTTTTTTCTTGCAGGGTGATTTCCTGGTTGACCGCTGGTATGCAGTGGCTTGAGTTTTATACGATGAAGTGCAAAGGAGAGGACGAGACATGATTAGTGTCCGTCGCTCCACCAAATTTCCTCTCCTGTGACCTCATGCTCTCTACGAGACCCTCAGGCGTTCAGATTACTGCAGTTAAGCCCAATTGTACTAAATGCTGCTTAAACAAATTTCGATCTTTAAAGAAAAGCCCTACAAACCCTGCTTTGTGAGGCAGCCATTTGAAAGGCCAGTTTAACATGACTACATAATAACGGTCATAAAGGACATGAAATATTGACACGGGGAGCTTTTGAAAGTAGATCCTCGCTCGGGGAAGAGAGCATATTGGGGTGGTCTGGCGGCGTGCCTTGAATGTTCTCAATTATACATTGGGAGTATGGCAGAGTCCACCGGCACAACTGTACCGTACTAACATACTAACAGCAGGTGTGCGGGGAGAGAGAATAAGAGAAGGAGAAAGCTGAACGTAGAAATAAGAAGTGTGTCTAGCCTATGCCTCGGTACTACTGAAAACAGAGGAATATTAACTATTTACACATAACTTTAAAAACAGAATTGCACGTACGCCATAGTACAGTCTTTCAAAAGCATCAAAGGGAGTACTATAAACTGTGTTAATAATATCGCTTGTGCACAAGATGAATACATTTTAAAATCTAAGAGTAAAAAGGCTTTTAAAGGGTCTCCGTATTTCACCATTTGAAGCTACCTACCTTCAGGGCTTTCTTCCTGCACATAAGTCCCCGTCAGATACCGGTGAACCAGTGCAGACTTCCCACTGGCCAAGTTACCCACAATGCCCTGCACACAAACAAACAGTATTATTAGGGGTCCCTTACTATGTGATATTTTGGCTTAATAATCATAATCCTAATAATCATAATTCCATGGGGTGATTCCAGATTATTTTGGGACTAAACATAGTTAACATAGTTTTATAACCTTTGCTGAGTGTTGTTGAGCATATAAATGTTTCTAAATAAAAAAATGGGGTTTGAATTTTATTAGAACTAACAGATTTTATTTTTCTCCTTTTTGTTATATGAAGACCACATTAAAACTATCAAGCCTTTGTTACAAATTTTTGCTTCTTTTCAAATAACTTCTATACATTGTATTGTTTTATCCTTGAAATCTGAAACTGTAAAAAATAAAAAATATATATAAAAAGAAAATTACATTTTTCAAAAAGTTTTGACTGTCTCATGATTGTAGAGTCATTAACACCACATCAAGCAGTACTTTGACCCTTATAATGTTTTTTTCCTAAAGTTATTGTACTTGTTTTCCAAGGATGAAATATGAGATGTTATGTTAGAAAGTAAAATTGAAGTAAATAAGTAACTTAATATGGTTAGCCAACCAAACAAGCTGTACTTTTTTTAATTATGCAAAATGTATTAAAATATTGTTTGTTGAACTTTTGGATTCATTAAATTATAATTATAGGACTAGCCTCAGCAAGACATGGTACAATGTCATTTTCTCCCTCATAATTTTCCAGAATGTTATCAAGCAAGACACAATTTGAGATGTATAGGAAATGACACTGAAGGGAATGAATGTATATGTCTATTATTAGTGAACCAACAAATAAACAGTGTAAAAATAGTGTTTACAATTCGACCTGATCGAAGACGTTTTCAGGTGACGGGCATGCAACACAAATGTAACAATTAAATGATGCAAATAAAAGCTTCTATTATGATTTGATTTTTTTAAAGGCAAACATTAAACATCAGTGACTGGACTCACCACTTTGAGCTCCGGTACTGCGCGACTGAGCGTCCATTCCTGACTGTTGACAAAAGCATCTGTAACAGAAAAAGAGAGAGATCGTCATAAATGTGGTCATGCACTTCAGTTCAAGCTTATTTAAAGAACAGTTCTAGGTGTGCGGCTCACTGATCAATGTAAAAAGCAGATGAAAAGCACACAGTCAAACAGACCAAAGTGGAACAAAATCCTTTCCATTGACACTTAACCAAAATTAACATACTACTCGTCAACTTCATACAGCACAAAACATGTTTGTGTTTATTTTAGGTCTTTTTTTTTTCAGCTGAGCGAATATCCAATGTGTTAATTAGAGCCCATGATGCCTTCACGGCCCCCACGCTCAGCTGCACGACACGTTTCACATTACAATAGAACAATAGTGGCTGCAGGTGCACAGTGGGCTCAAACGCTCAGAGGACATCTAAGAGACCAGCAGATAAGCCTGCAAATCCAGCTTCCCCAGTTTCACAGACGAGGCTTAAGCCTATTCCTAGACTAAAATACATGTTTGAGCTGTTTTAACTGAAAGATACTTGCACTGGCATATCTTAAAATATGTCAGTGCCATTGTTTTGCCTTAAGATGCACAACAGTAATGTGTTTTTTTTTTTTTTTCTAAAGCACATTTATAAAAGCCACTTAAATGTCCTAATTAAACTAATGCCTAATCCTAGCTTAATATAAGCCCTGTCTGTGAAACCAGGCCCAGAAGTGTTGTGAAAATTATGTATGGAGAGATTCAGGTCATGCTCTATTACGAAAGAAAAAGATAAATAATGCTAGGCCAGTTTTGCTTTCTCTAAAGTAGCACCCAAGTAATGTTTTTATTTTCTAAAGCACGTTTATAAAAGCTCATTGAATCATTGATTCTCCCGATTCGTTCAAAGCCACAGATTCATTTACTAATGAAAAACCACTGTTGTGTTGTTTAGAGAGGAGACTCACAACAGTTCTGATGTGGCTTTCATTGGAACTATTATTTCGCTGCAAACAATATTGACAATATGGTGTTTCAAATGTAGGTCACTTAATATATTTTTGTTTGTTGAATGCTTGTATAAATCAATGTCACATTTGCAATCGTGTGAAAAAAATTACTGCTAGTATAATTATCAACATTAAAAACAAGGACTCGCCGAGTGTTTCTGTTTCTTAAATCAATCTTTATGCACAGTTTGTGTCTATATTTGGCTCTTCATGCTAGCAAGTGCTAAAACCCCACTTTTACAAATGTACATTGTTATTGAGAACGGCAGTAATGTAGCGCAATTTGCCAAGGCAGCAGACTCTGCACGCAATCTATCATATTCATGCTGCTTGTGTGGATGCAGTCAGTTTTGACTGCAAAAGATGAGGTAATCTGATTCTGAATGGATGTCATGTATTTGACCTTTTACGGCACTACCATTTTCCTGTTTTTATACTGTTTGAAATACACGCTCGGTTTTATTGTTATTTTAAGGTGGGGTAGAGGGTATATAAAAAAAAATATATAAAAAAAATGTTGTTCGCATACCCCCTCTGTCGCCTCATGTACCGCAATTTGGGAACCACTGTACTAGACTAGAGACATTGTTATCAACCAGAGGGTCAGGGTTCACTAGAGGGCTTCAGAAAACCCCAAAGGGGCCTCAACATGACGTAAATTATTTACAAGCTTTAGAATAAGCTAAAATAACGAAACAACCAGGATTCCCACAGCCTTGAAAAAATATATATATTATGGGGAAGCCAAAAAAGTGAGATTTCTAGATGTTAACAAGTTGAGAAAACCACTGCAGTGTAATTAGCATGTTGCTATGCTAACAAAGTGATTAATTAGCATAAATAAAGAGCACACAAATGCTAGTAGTGGCTGCACCATAGCAATACTTAGGTATTCAATGAAATTAGCATATTCACAAATCATTTGTCTAAACCTGTCCACCATATAGGGGTGGGCGCTATACCGGTATGAACGTGAATACCGGTATTATGTTGTGCCATGATATGGATTTTGCGATACCGAGGATACCGTATTCATAAATTCAAATTTTGCAGTTATATTGTTTTGTTCAATTTGGTACTCTTTACAACTGTTAACACTAATGACGATACAGAATCGAATACGCTGTTTAAGGAAGTGGCTGATTTGGCGCTTCATACGCGTGAAGTTGCTGAGGCGATTAACCGATGTCCTGTGCTGTGACGCGTTCAATGAAGGACCGTAACGTAGAACACATCGCTAGTGCTAAGCGGCTGTTCATAAAGGATGCATATTTTGCAGTGGAATGGGAAATAACAAGGTAATAAAACGCAAGTTTGACTTTTAACTTGAGCGCTGCATTTTTAGAATGCCGTTTCATTTGCGAGACGCGGGTGCAACACCAAAACAAGTTCCTCGAGCACAAAAAAACGTTAAAGTTCCAGGCTACTGTATGTTTGAGATGTCATGTTTTCATGAAGGTTGAAAGGCTGAAAGCTGCTATTATTATCTTTGTTTTTACAAAACATTTACTGCTAATAATATTATCCACGTGGAGACATTTCCCCGCAATGTAACGTTAGGCTATGAATAACAGGACACGACACAGACATGAGCGCGCGCATACGTACACGACACACACATAAGCGCGCGCATACACACACTGTAAACCCGAATAAGTTGGCACAACTCAAAAAATTTAAGGCAATAAATTGCCTCAAATTTTTTAAGTTAAGAAATTCAAAGTTTAAGTAAGCAGAACTGACATATTTTTATTTTGTATTTGTACATTTGAATTGTTCTTAACTTGAAATGTTTGAGTACACTAATTCATACATTTAACTTAAAATTTCATGTAATCTCAATGTGAACACTTTTATTAGTATAAACTTAGCTAGCTTTAACAAGCTAGTTTGCTAACATACTATTTTGTTAACTTCTTAACAATAGTATGCACAGTAACACTTGCAGCAATATAAAGGTTTTATTTGCTCTCAAATCAAGCTCATGCACCACTTGTCACCATGATGGTAACTATCCTAAAACCAACATTAACAGAAATTCTTCTAAATTAGCATAACGAAACATTAATCATTACTAAATCACCCGCTTAACATTAATCTTGCACAAAAAAAACATTGTATTACACTTAATTTTAGCATTTACTCTCCCTTTCGAGTGCCATCGGCAAAGCATGCTGGGAAATATACATCCCAGCCGTTTCAGTTAAACTTAAGTTCGTCTAAATTAAAAGAAATAATTTCATAAAACTCAAAACAATGAAACAGTTCAGTTTACTTAAAATATATCCATTCTGTGAACTTGAAAGAAAAAGAAAGTGCTAAATACTCATAAAAGTTAATTTGACTGAACTAATTAGTTTAATTTAAGTTTTTCCTACTCAAACCAATTAAGTATTTTGAGCGTTAGGGTTTACAGTGCACACACTGGTCCACTATCTTTGTGGGGACTCTCCATAGACGTAATGGGTTTTATACTGTACAAACTGTAGGCCTTTACTCTGTCTCCTTACACTAATGAATTATTTTGTATGAAAATGTTCATTGTTTTTTTCTTGTATACTTTTAAGTTCTATTTATTTGGTGCTTTGTTCAATCTCAACCCATTATTTTATTTTTATTATTAAGATGTCTGCACAAGAGTTAACTGTAATCTGTGCAAATATTAAACTTAAATTAAACGTCTCGCTTTGGTCTACACTGGAAGTGTTCTGCTTGCTCTGCTAAAGCTAAACTATTATTACTAAAGCTGAAACTAAATAAAATAAAAACTATATAGAAATGTGTTTGCAAAATAAAAACTAACAAAACCATTCATGAAACTAGCTAAAACTAAACTGAAATTTAAAGCAAAATTGAAAACGATATTAAAATAAAAACTAATTTAAAAAAGCAAAACTATAACAACAGATATTCCCGGAGACAGAGCACACCCGAAGACGGCTCTCACTCTAAAATCAATAAAGTCTTCATTCGCTGCCGGTTCTCATTATGACAAGACGAGCAAAAAGTGGAAAGACATAACAAGTGCATTCAGGCCTACCTCATGTTGCACGTTTGCACTTTTTGAGAAAAAAAATGGCACAATAAAAAAACACATTTCAGGTCTATGTCCAATGAAATGCCTCACCTTTTTCTAGTTATCTAGTGTTAAACTACATATTTTGCCTGTAATTTAACTAAGGTGTACTAAAATGTGATTCCAATTTTTTTTTTCTCATATCGCGATATAATATCGATATCGTCCGGACAGTGAAAAATATCGTGATATGAATTTTTGCTCATATCGCCCACCCCTACCACCATATTGGATGAATTTGAGCCCTGTCCTCAAAAGGATACATGTAACACTGCCTTGTATTACTATTTTGTCAAAAACACCACAACTTACTTTTAGAAAAAGTTTTCACATTGAGTGTGTGCATATATTGTTTTAAAATGTTGTCTAGCTGGGCAGCTCACTAGATTTATTCTGGAACAATTCTTTGTTCTTCATGTTTCTATCTTTATGCACAAAGCAATGGGTGCTATGCTGCCATCATCTATTCACTGATGTCAGATAACAACCGTCTGTAATTTCTCAAGAGACCCATACTAAACACACACTAATGCTAACATATATGCATAACCCTTGGGGATTGTCTCCATTGGCACTTTTTGATAAGCTAGCAGATGAAGTATAGAAAGAAAGCAAGAGCCTTTGGGGGGTTGCTTCATATATTCCGCTGGGTGACCCACAAAAGGCCACGGTGTCAGAAATCTGAGAAAGGTTAACACAATCTGCCACCCACAACTGACTGGGTGTTAAAGGAAAAATAAGGACTGATTGTACATTTGATGTTCCAATCACATATTATTCATATTGTTTTTATAAGATTGGACTTATTTGATCTCTTTCCTCTAATGGGCATGCGGTGCACAGATGGAACCAATCAACACAGCGGTATGACAGCTGTGTCTGCGATACTGAGACTCATTCAAAACGACAATCCGTAACATCACAGGAGACGTGATGGAAGTGACAGACCGATGATGATCCATTACAGCCGAA